TGCTGCTCCAGCTTCGGACACGCTCAGCTAACTCCCTTCGTTGCAAACGGTGCCGGCTTCCCTGATGACAACCCTCTTCCAACTGAAGGCGACGTAGGAAATTCGACGGAGCGACCGAGCTCCCGGTGGTGATTAACGCCGCCGCCAAAGCTGTTAGATTCACACGTCCGAGTCGTCTTCCTAAACTGAGTAAGCCGAAATCTGTGAGCCACGGGCAATAGTACTGCAAGTTCAAGCTGGACAACCGAGCCAAAGCATCATCAGCAAGACAACGGAATTGCCTGAAACAGAGTAGAGATTCGACACGAATAGAAGCAATGAGAGTGGTAAAAGACATTGTGTAAACGTAGCTAGTAGTAGACAAATTCACTGCGTTGCCGAAAAATAACTGTACAATTCCGCAACCGGCTATGGTCCCATTGAACGAAAGTGCGATAGATTCAGCTACTTGGACTCATGTCGTCAAGAGGGAAGTGCGAAGAGGCAAAATCGAGGGGTAGCGAGAGATACGCTAGAAATGAGGGAAGGAATACAAACAGTGTATTACTAATATGTCAACTCTAAAGGTAAGTTTGCCCGCTTGTCGTTGAAGTGCTTGCAAACTGATCCGTCAGTGTGAGGCCGCCCGATTGAAAAGCTATCCAAAGACCCAACCAGGTGTAGACAAGTGATAAAGCAGACGCATTTTAGAAATGAGATGAACTATTACATCATAAAAACAAGAAACGGCACAAGCGAATGGTAGTGAACAACGTCACTGAAAATCGGTCTCGACACACGCATAAGTTACAAAACGACAGGAGCGCATTGCATAAGAGTGGTCGTTGGAGGACGGCCAATAACGATGTATATCATATGCCGATAAAGCCCAAGATTAGGAGGATCGTACAAGTTTGATCGAGATCCAGGACAGTCACACAAATAAGGTGCGGCAAGCGATCTATAAATCTCCTTCATGTGCTGTCCTTAGCTTCTGATTAGAACCTTGATAGTACCGGATCGGTGTGTCACGCATCTCGTGAAATCCACTTCAACCACAACCCGAGGAAATGTAGAAATAGCGTGGGGACTCAACGGTCGAGATTATGCAGTGAACTAATGGACTGAAAGTAGACACGGAGCAGCTAGTTTCATTCATAAAGGCAGTCTATCTCCTGCACAGTAAAAATGGCTATTACTAGTTAGATTGAGACTACCGCTTGTACGTGGCGCAGTGCAAAATTATTTAAGCACACTAAGAACAATGGGCTGATATTTGTAGGGATTCGGATGCGAGGTCTTGAGTTATATGCCGAGTCGAGAAGGGCAAGTTCAAATGGGCTAGAAAACAACTAACCGATTTAAGCAGAAAATCTTATTAATGACAAGATGCGAGGGCCGACAGTTACTTGGAGGTTGAATGGTACACCCCTAGGTCCCTTGCGTTCATAGTGTCACATCCGACAAGAACAACATTTGCATATTTAGTGCGGTGACCGAACAAATGAACACCTGATGGAGCGTTAATTCAAACGGATCGATGGATCACGCTGCCTCGATAAGGTGGATCAAAGCATGAAACAGACATGGTGGTGCATTTATGTGAATGTACATCACTTTACGTGGGTTACCTCTTAGTCGTGTTAAATCTCCTGCACTGTGACGCTACTAATCGTTCAACGACCGGCTACCACTGGGGCACGTGGTCATCGCTGCCTATAAGCTGTTCTGTGACTTGTGGACAAGGTGTTCGATGCCGAGTGCGGAAATGTTTAGATGGGTTTGGGAACGAAGAGCCAGTAACGCAAAGATGCCACAGTCCAGAGGATTACGAATCCAAGGCAGAATGGTGCACTCCGTGCACTGTGAGTGCTCAGTGTCCATCTCTTCCAGGATGGGGTATGTGGACCGCTTGGAGCAAATGTATGCCGGCTGGTGAACAAATTAAACAACCCATAGACAGATGTCAGCTTGGTGTCCGAACAAGACGCAGGAAATGCGACAGCCCTCCACCTGAATCACCACCCAAAGGTGTGTCATGTAGTGGCGCAAGCCAACAAATAGTCGAGTGCCGCTACAACTGTGACAAAAAGCCACTTCTTGACCCGATGAACATAGCTAAGCGGATCCAACTTCGTGTAGAAGCCGATCATCGTAAGGGGCTGCGAAATTTCAAGCGCGTCATAAGAAAACAGACTACGGAAGCCGTAGAGATGAGTTGCAACACACCTGCATATAGGCTTGCTAAACGCTTAACCGTAATCGCTGAATATGAGGCCAGAAAGTATGGTTTGAAAAGTGAACCACTGAGGATGGTTTGGTACAAAAACGGTGAACAATTACGTATAGAATATCCGGAAACAAGAATGAAAAGGGCACACAGGAAGGAAAAACATAAAGGTGAAGCAAGACAAGAACTGCTTCAAGAACAGCATCGATGGCAAGCGCTACACATAAAGACCTATCCTAAACTAATAGAGGATAAGCTTGTTTTCAGTAGCATCCGAGAAGGGGATCAGGGCTTTTACACCTGTGAACTGAGCTGGGGTGAGCATCGGTGGATGACAATATTCTACAGCCTAATTGTCAGTGGAATACGTTATGTCGCACAAGAAACAGATCCGTTTTACTTACATTCGAATATGGGATACGAGAATGCGTTACGTGAGGCACCTGTGTGGTTGGAAGCAGCACAAATAGTCTGGAAACTGAACGGATTGGCACGATCACACGGTCTGGTAGCAAGGAGATCTAGACGGATTCAGATGATTCCGGAACTAAACCAAACGCACAACGGGATGTGGACATGTTACCTGATAATTCCAGCCACAGGACCCACCTCACGCATGAGCACCCCATCGGTGAGAGTGTCAGGAGTTTATTTACTTAACGAGTTTCACCTAAGAGTCGGTCCGAATGCAAACGGTATATGGCAATTAGCGGACAATACAGTAAGTATGAGAATGCTGCGAAATGTAAGCGTTGGCTTGGCGCTAATGTGCGAACTGCTTCTACTCCTCCTGTTGTTAACCGTTTGGGCGGTAAAAAGATGGCTAGACCGCACATTATCGGCGTCTCAAAAAAAGCTGATCGTGCAAGAAGTTGTGGATAATGCTACCCGACTAATGCTCACAGCGAGGAAGCGAGCGGCGGTCAACCGAGACCGTTTGCTACCGTTAATAGTGCGAGAACAGAAGCGTTTGACAAAGGCAGCTCAGCATTTGAGTGAGAGATTCTTGGAGGACGAGTCAGACGAAGAGGAGGAACCAATTGAGGGCAGCATATGGAGAAAAATGTCCAAGTTCGGGAATCGCGTGAGAACAATATCAAAGATATTCAAAAAGGTTAACGCCAGAGATAGTTCCATAGTGGATGTGGAAGGATGGAGATATAGCAGATCGGGATCAATTATTTCTACCGACAGCAGACCTTCCGACACAACGGAAAGAGTGACTAAGTTGAGAAAATTGTTCGGAATGGGGGAGGAATCCGAAAAAAATAATCAGGCGTGGTAACCACACGCACATAAAGTGAATCAACAACGATGCTTCTGACCTGCACAAGCTGATTCTAAATCTCAATCGATCACTTACCAGTGAAAAACAGCTTAACTGAAATGCAGCAAGTAAAAAGCGCGAAAAGCAAAGCTGTTTCGAAGGTTGATCGTCGAGTAAATCTGAATTCCGTTCGCATATTTCATTTCAAATTAAATGAACGCCAGGCGTTCAACACAGTGAATGAAATGATTCGCACTAAAACAGATGTGATTAGTTTGCTAATTTGTCAAACACGCACATGCGCGGAACATGATCCGATCGCATCATAGACGTCACCACGAACACTGACTATAGCAGGTGGCACAATATGATTTCATTTCTAATACACTTTTTGGAAATGAGAGGTTCTTGCTACAAAGGTATTGAACACATACAATTAGTTATAAAAGAAATGAGACCTTACTACGACAAGGTAGTGGCTAAACAGAGCGCTTAACAAATAAGTGTCGAAGTTTGTGAAATCAGATTGTAATAGAATGAAAGGTATTTCGGCAAAAATGATAAAAGTGAGACAGACAAAGGTAAGTCATTACCAAAAGCTGGACAACAAGATGGATGGACTAGCAGATAAAACATAACGATTGTGGTAGGAAGATTGTAGGTGTCTGATTATTTCGCGGAATACATGGTCTGTGACCAATAAAATGGCAGTAACAGAGATCCCTTAAAAGAAAATAGAGAACTATCAGCTAGAGCATGCTGGTCGACACTTTCCGTGTATATAAAGGAGCGCTCACTTGCTTAATGGAGAGACAGAAACTGAAAATAATGTGGCCAGACAGTAATTAAAAAGTACAATGGTAATGTTAATTTAACCTGCTACCGGTGCATCGTGTTCGAGAAATGACCTACGGGTTAAAGACACATGTCTACTAATCCAGAGATCGCCAGTTTGAATCCGTACAGATGCGTGCGACAACGCAGTAGCCGTAGCCCGTGTGCACATTGTGGTGGTCGCGTGGCTGCAAAGCGTAGATACAAAGTACCGGTGTACTGCTGACGCCTTTATTTCTCCACTTCTTTACCGGTGCGTCATGAGTCAATAACCGAACTGGTAGTGATAAGCGAATGACTTAAAACTAGCTCACGTAAAACGAGGGCCAATAATATCTTCATGAAACTAGGACGTTCATGTCAGCGAGATGAAATGTGTGTAACTCTTAATGATTAGATTTGCACGGTTCGAGTGGGGCTCGTTCGCTCTGTGACCGTGAGGCTTGGAGCCTTGAGGCTGATGATCCATGAGGCTTACAAATCTATGATCATCGTCATCTACAGAAAATCGACATCGGTTGACAAATGTTGTCTGTAAAGATGAGTTAGATAGACAAGCACTAAGCGGTAATGCTCAGGATGCTTCTTTAGATGAAGAAATAAGATAGAATAAATTGTGCTACTGTGGACAAGTGCTATGTTTGTCTGCTCACTGTTTACCGAGAAGGATCTTGTTCCATGTACTGGGTCTAAAATGATGGGTGTCTTGAAGAAGGGTAATAGTGGACTTAATGGCGGGAAATAAAAAGGCATCAGCAGTACGCCATACCGACGATTCGCTGCCAAGAAACCATTAACAGTCGCGCAAGGGCTAAGAATACCGCGAGGGCCGCGCGATCGCCAACACAGGCTCGAACCCACGACCACCTGGTTGCAAAGCTGACACCCTGTCCAATCGGTCACGGGCCCACGGGCAGGAAATGGATTCGCTGGTCAACCTAACCTGGGAAGTTGAGTAGTTGGGCCACCCATGTGCTAAGCTCAAGATCTTACGAGATGTGATACGCGGCTGGGAACAGTGGCACCTGTTCGGACCGCAACTCAGGTTTGTGATCAACTGTGTTGAGATTCCTTAAGATAGACGCTAGTGAGAGGAGCGCCAAACTGCTGTTAGCTGTACGTTGTTGATACGCAGTAGGCAACATAGTTAGAAGATTGGTTTAGGGTATTTGTTTTACACAGACTAGCCCTTCATCCCCTTTGATAGCATTTTAGCAGCGTGGTCATAATGGAGGTCTTCATTTATTTTCCTTTGTCTTGCTTCATTTCTTTTGCATAGGGAAGGAAGACGACTCAGAAATCGCAGTACTGGAGGCACTGGTTTGCTTCCCGGTACAAGAAACAGGACGCTCGTTAGACGGGAGCGTATTTTCGTCCTTGGAAATTACCGTGACCTGACCTAACCCTCATCACCTTATGGGCCAAACTGGTTGGTTAGAATCCCAGTCCGCCTTGCGAAAGCAACGGCGAGTATCCTCGAAATGATGTTCTCTTCCACATGTTTAATGCAGTTAACTTTCTGTTGCATGTCAATGTACCACATACACACGTCCATCGATGTCTGCTCACGTACACGGTAAGTTCTATAGGCTCGTTAAAGAATCTGCGTAGCCATTTTACTTGAACGGTTCAACTCGGATGCAGCCAAGCTATTAGAAGTAGCAAAAACAATTTCGGTGGGCATGCGCACAGTAGGCCATTGAATTGTGAGATGTCGTGCTGCGGAGCAGCCGCCGTTTACCTACCATGTATTCCCTGTAGAGACAAAAATCCGGTTCATTTCATATCCCATTTTAGATAGCGGCTATAGCACTTACATTGATGACATTTTCTTTGTTGTAGGCGTCGCCGAGCGAGCATAACACTTACTATTGGCTCTAAACAGCTGTCCCTCCGTGATAGAATTACAGCTGTAAACAAATATTCCGGTGCCTTTCAATTTTTTTTATGTTAGTATAAGCAGATACCCAAATGATACATATTACAAACTTGCCTGGACAGGATAGCACGTCAAGTTTCTGTTCTGTGAAGTACCAAAGAGCTCTGCCTCGTAACACTTTTGCTGGAGATCGCCAGATATACGCTGATGATATGATTGAGTGTCAGCTACAATGCGTCTCCACAACATCACGTGAAAACGGATATCCTAAGGTTCATAGCACGACCAACGCTAACGCGAAAACCAGGAACGGACAGGTGCTCGACGTTTCCAAAAAGAAACTGTTCGTGACGTTATTATACAAAGGCGACGAAAATTACCGGAGATTATGTTACCGTCTCCGTCAATCCATAAAAAGGCGTTATTACGATACTGACTTTATGCATTTTTATGCTGTTTAAATCGCACCTGGACAGGCCACACTCTAGAGGTACGCGTTTCGCTACATCTGCGATAGCGAGTATGTCAGCCGAACTGGGAGGAGACCGTCCACAAGCTTTTTAGAGCATATTCCGTGAAAGGTAGTCGCGAATGGTTCAAAGCTGCTTGGCAGTTCGACTGACCGACACACACTTGACTGCACCATATGTGTATGTGAGCAATTCAGTTGGCATCATGATGTCAGACAATGCGTCTTTGACAAGGTGGATCTACCGCTCTATGAGCTTGTTCCGTTGCGCCAGTTGAGATGGCTTGGTTACGTCCTGCGCATGTTTGGTGGCGATTACCACGCCGCGCCCTATTTGTCCATTCAGAGCTGCATTGGAAGAAGTCGCGTGGGGCTCAGTCGACCACCTGTTGATAAAGCATTCAATCACTAACATTCAGGCCATCAATTGCTGGTCCCGTACGCCTTCCAAGTTGAGGAGAGATGAAATATGCCGATGGCTCACAGCACTCGCAACAAAAACTGGAAACCGGTTACAGTAGAAACAATGCATATAAGTCTGCAAGCAATCCAGACATCAAAAGCACTAACTCTAAAGCTGAAAAAATAACTGAAAAACACGACGTGTGGAAAGAACGAAAGGTGTTCGTTTTGATTCTTCATTAGTTTAACATATCTAAGTACATATACCTGTTCCCAGTTAAATATGCATGGCTTTGAAAAACTCTTCTTATATATTATTGACTGATTTATATATATATATATATATATATATATATATATATATATATATATATATATGTTTGGCGGCATCCGGTTTCGGATTTGCTTGTCACTGTGGTAAGCCACAGGACGCCTGTGCTAATACAGGGACAATGGGTGGCTTGCGCTGCACCACCCACAGCTTCAACCACATACCCCATATCCAGTGTAAACCCGAAGGAATAAGACCGGGAGGCATGCGGATGGAAACCACGTTTCATCAACGGAGCCGGCCCACACTCCTTCACAGGCAAACACAAGCACGCTGTATTTGGGGAATCAACCGCACACAAGGCGGTGGCTGGACCGTAGTCCGCTCCACACTGAGTGCATGGAACCGCTCTTTGAGCCTAGCACGGCCACAAGAACCGTGCACCCCGTCCCCTCCAGCAACGACCAACTGTCTCCTGGAGACAGTATGAACGATGTAGTGGGTAATAGACAGGTAGGCACCTTGTCAACATATACACCAAGCGCAACCATACCAGGGATATCAAACAACAGCCATTCACTTTAAACGACAAGCTGAAATAGAATAAATCCAATAATGCATACAGATACGGTGGCATAACTCTTCGCTAAATTGCCATATGAAGTAAGTTGGTTAGCAACAAATCCGTGATAAGTAAGAAATGTCCACAAATTACTTAAAATGCTACAAACGCAACAAAATTACCGAAGATAAGCGCAATTAGTGTATGCAACGTGGCCAGTTAATAAAACATTATTCAGGGAGGCAGAACAAACCAAATAAAGCGGAATGAAATTTAGCCAGCTTAAAGAGACCTAGTTTAAGTGTAAGTTGGTTTAGCTCAACTGCGGTGAAGAAGCATCAAGAATGCAACATCATATATATATATATATATATATATATATATATATATATATATATATATACCCATGCAGAGGCTAATGAATGTTTCTTCACCGCAGTTGGGCTAAACCAACTTACACTTAAACTAGGTCTTTTTAAGCTGGCTAAATTTCATTTTGCTTTATGATTTGTTCTGCCTCCCAGAAAAATCATCTATTAACTGGCCACGGTGCTTACGCTAATTGCGCTTAGCTTCGGTAACTTTGTTGCGTTCGCAGCAT